CGAGAGATCACTTCCGGCGCTTGCGTAAACTACGCCAGAGCGCGTACACACCTCATGCACCGGATGCCTGCGCGCGCTCAAAGACAGTTGGACATAGTGGTGTATTAGAGGTAAAAAATGATATAAATACTGTTCGGTTTCTGGCACAAACCGATCGTTTCATGTCTTAGTACATCAATGTGTTGTCACGAGCCTGGGTTCACTTTTTTAATTTTTGGGTGAACTATCCCTTTAAATCACTTGCTCAACAGTGGATCATTTTTTAACTTCAAACTATTTTTTTCGGCTAAAATATCAGACCTCTGTCTGTTTTTTGCTTTCTCTGGTGAAAAAGTCATCTCATCTGAATCAGGAAAGGAATGTGCACAGATATTATATTTCAGATATTACATATTCATATATATATTCATATATTATAAGCAAAACAGTTCTAAACAAATATGTTGGTGGATTTTGATGTAAGAGAACAACAAGGGGATGTTTTTTGGCCAGAAACAACAGTTAAAATGCCATAATGACAGATTTCTTTAATTTAAACACACAGCTTTTCACTTCACAAAATGTTAATTGATGGACTGGAGTCGTGTGGATTATTTGTAATTATTGTTCTTTTATCAGCTGTTTGTCTCTCATTCTGGAGGCACCCATTCACTGCAGAGGATCCATTGGTGAGTAAGTGATGTGAAAGCAAGTGAAATCTGTTCCTATGAAGAAACAAAATCATCTACATCTTTGATAACCTAAGAATGAGTACACTTTCAGTGAATGTTCAATTTTGGGTGAACTATTCCTTTAAGGAAGTCATTCAACCAGCTTTGACCTTTTTGAAGCTTTTTTGTACAAATACAAGTGACCTTATATTATATGGTAAAGAGCAGCATGAACAATCTTTCTGGCATCTTCTGTTGTGGTGTAATTCACATTTCAAATAAAAAATGTATGATGCAGTGACTGACCAATCAGAATCAAGAAAGATTGATAGAATGATTGTGATAGAACAATGTGATAGAACAACACATTTCTGTAGTGTTGACAGCCACAGTGCAGCTGCATACTATAGCTTTACAAAGCTTTAGCACAGAGTATGATTTGCAAATGAGTCATACCAGCATGAGGGGAGGAGGAGGGGAAGAAGAACTCTCATCTGCAGTCCAGTTCAGCTTCACCTCTCTTCATTTTTACAAATTTAATTCAATCTCTATTTAAGTTTCAAGGAGTCATGCTTTAAATTTTCACTTTATCTCCCTTTATCATTCCATCAGAACAAAAGCACTATTCCACTTGGTGAAACAATTTGATTCACCTGCAAGATCCTTTTTTAAATATGTATGTAGGCCAGCAATCTCTCTTTGGCATGTCATTTGTAATCATCCACAAAATTCCTATCATCTCTCGCTCTTTCTCTGGCATGTGAAAAATCAATCCAAACGTGGCACCTTTTCAAGTGTTCGGTGTACCGGTGTTCATCTTACTGATGATTATGTAAACTACTAGATTTTTATGTTTTCTAAAGGAAATGTAAGTGCTCTTTGCCATGCAAAACTCACTGCCACAATGCTAGAATGTTGTGAGAGGTTGCTATGGCATTGTGTTGCAGTCGCTAAGGTGTCTTGCTTTGTTGCTAGGTAGTTATTTACTGTTCCCAAGTCAAAAGAGCCGATTTTAGGTCTCAATGATACAGCTTGAGTCCTTCCTTCAAAAGCAAACATCACAAACGTATTGCATTTGCCATGATAGCAACACCATTTTTACTAATACCAAAATAAATGCTCATTTAAATAATCATTTACAATAAACTCTTTCACCATAATCTCTTAATGAACCTGCTTTACTGTATTACAGTTTGAGTTTGCTCACAAATGCTACTGAAAGGGTGTTTATTGCCATCTAGTGGAAAGAGATTCACATTACAAAAACATTTAATGGCGACACAATACTAAACACACATGAGGGCTGTAAACAAAATCTCCTTTATACTTTGTGTGCAAAGCTTGTTACGTTCATGTAGGAGTAATTATGTGGGATATGTTCAACTGAGCTGGAAACTCCAGTTTCATAATAACAGGGTGCACGTGTGTCCTCAAACAGCTAATTGCCTGTAATTTGAGCATTTATTGAAACCTTGCATTGACCTGAGCTACTGTGCTCGGCTGCTTTTAAAGTCGCATCTGTCTTGTGTGCATCCAATGGATTTGTGGTTGCATGGTAAACTTGAAATGGTTATTGCGTATCCAGCCTTTCAAACTAGTTACATGCATGTGATTATCACAAAATGACAACTGTTTCTGCTTGCTTTAATAGCTGTTACTAATTGTGTTTGAGGTCATCCAGATTGAAGATAGAAGGATTTGCCTTGGATATTTCATACCACTTGTATTTCCTAACAGCATTCCTTGTCCTGTTGCCTCACATGCTGGTCATGAGTCCCAGCGTCGTCCCACTGGGATCCAGCTGTTCTTCTGACTGTCCGTTTTTTTCCAGGAACCGACAGTGTCACAGTCCATTACTGCAAGAACATTCATTAAAAAGGGCTTGTTCATTGATTCAGAACATTTTAGATGAATAAAAGTCAGACGTCAGAGCTTCAAGGGCAGAGGAAGAATCTCACAGGAACTCTAAAACGGTAACATGAGGTGGTGAGAAATTGGCTGAGTTTTCATGAGGAATGAGGCAGGTTTGGGTTATTTTGTATATAAACCAAAGACGCCAACAAGAGCTAAAATCGAAAGAGAAGAGGAAGTTGTGAAGGACATTTCTGATATAGCAGCGCAACAACACTGGACCGTTTGAGAGAAATTAATCTCAGCAAACATGCAGCCCACTATGGAGGAGTTCGATTCAGAGGATTCTGGTGTTCAAGATGTGGGACCTCAAATCAATGGGCTGTTGGTCCAGATCCTGGAGACAATGTCAGTGCCGCTGGTGCGGATCAGACAGAAGCTTCTGGAAATGGCTATTCTGATCTGTGTGATTCTGCTGGTGTTCTGGGTGGCTTTATTCCTCTATGGCAGTTTCTATTATTCCTTTATACCCACAGCCAATTTCATCACACCTGTCTACTTCTTCTACAGGTGAGGTGTTTACAGGTACCCAGCAGAGTAAGCTACTTTAAATCATTTTCTTAATCAGATTTTCATCTCGTTTTTCAGTAAACAAGCTTTCTTGAAAGGCACATTTTTAAGCAAAGGCCTAAATTATTAAATATCTTCTTGAAAGAAGAAAACTAAATTTTCTCGTCCCATTCACTAAATCATTATTCATGATTTAAGCATTAACCTCACAAAAATTATATGCATTAAACATACAAAAATATATAGTTTCAAAAGCAGGTCTTTTGTAAGTCACTTTATATAAAAGTGTCTGCTAAATGAATAAATGTTAATGTAATAATTTATGAAATTATGTTTCAAAAAAGACAATGTATCAGACTGTGCTCAGCTAAGATGCCCATATCTGTAAAGCCAGTTCATCTGAACTAGGCTATCCACATTTTATAATTTAACAGGTTTATATTCTCACTGTCTCAACAATTGTCTTATATGTGTCTTATTTTATTGCTATTTTTATTTAAAGGTGCAGTAGGATATCTTGGAAAATGCTAACTTTAGCCTGATAGCACTGAAAGCGAACCAAGCGGCAACCTTCCGGTCTCTCTCTTGAAACCAACACGGAAGTGACTTAAACTGCAATTCATCGACTGGCCACTAGAGACTGACTCCAAAAGAGAGTCAGTCCCATAGACTCCCCATGTTAAAATGGCCAACTTGACAGCTGAAAAAAATGTGTTTACAGCCTGGTTCAAAAAGTGGTTTTGGTCTATATAGCTAATTTTGCCCTTTATGACAACTGTGTGGGGGGTGAATTTTTTTTATAACTCATCCGTTTGAATTCTGCATAATTAAGGGTGTGGACACTTGAGTGACAGGTGGATTGCCGCTGCTGTCACTACCGTCGCGCAAGGCGGGCGTGGTTTCAGTAACCAGGTCCACCCATGTCCCGCCCTTTTGCCCATTTTCGATAATCCGGTAGTGACGCGCAGCCAAGATGGCGACGGCCGTCTCAGCGCACTTTGAGCTTCAAAAATGCTCTTCAGAAACAATAGGTTACTTGCCTTATCTCTGATAGCATTAAAGGTCCCCTGAAATGCTTAGAAACACGCAGCGTTACTCTATGTGTTGACGTCATTTTAACTGAAACAGGAAGACAGGAAGACCTTTTTAAAATAGCCAATAGCGTTCGTTTATATCACAGCTTGGGCTAGAGCCGTTCAGAGCCGTTGAGCTCCGTAAAGTCGCATTTGAAAGGGTATGCCAGCCACAATCTCATCCATATTGCTATAAAATATAGCATTCTGTGTAGAATTCAAATAGCTCCGATACATTTTGTGGTCTGCGCCGACTCGCGCATGTGATCCGCTCCGTGCTATCATGTCTCTGGACTGGAGCAGAGTGTGTGTGCAGTGCGGTGTTTAGTGTGACACAGCGCAAAACCAGACTTCTTTTCTTCCTCAATGGAAAGCATATTTACACTGTTTGAATCGTTCCCTGTCCCCTATATAGTGCACTACGTGCCATTCACTGTACAGAAAATACTAATTCTGTGGACAAGTGACCGATTTCAGCCGCGGCTTCAGCATCTATTTTATAGTGTAGGGGGCGGGCGCTTCGGATTCTAGAGAGCATTTGATTGGACAGAAAGTTTGATGAGAAGCTGAAGTACGATGTGACGTCAAAAAAATCGTTGAGCCGTTTTGGCGGAAGTGACGAACTGCAAGCTTTGAATGCTTATATCTTCTAAATGCAAATTTTGTCACTGTTTTGGAGCACACTGCCTTATAGATAACCTTAAGACTAACATATTGATACTAACACCCAAAAAACTTCATTTCATGGGGACTTTAAGTGAGGTGTCTCACTATGGGATACGTCCCTTCCACGTATTCCTCAGAAGCCCAATTTCATTACGCCAGCCCCAATTGGCTGGTAGACATGACGTTGCATCAGGGAGTGGCTCCCTGCCCTCGGTATAAAAGGAGTGACGCAACATCATTACGACATTCAAAACAAGCACACCTCTTCCTCGCTTCACACAGCAAGGACTTACACAGTAACTTGAGAGGAATAATAGAATTGACCACTTTGGTCATAAAAGCTGAGTTAGGTTTCAAAAGCACCCCTGCGTCCCCTGGCATGAATTGCATACAAGCTGAATGCACCGAGAGTGCGTGAATTTCACTTACGCGCTTCGCTGAAGCCAAAGCTAACAGCAGAGCCGTCTTAAATGACAATAATTTCAGGTCAGCCTTTTCCAGTGGCTCAAATGTAGTCACAGAAAGCACATCAAGCACCAGAACCAGATCCCATAAAGGAGAAATCGGTTTTGAGACTGGTAAAGCACAACGCACCCCTTAATAAACCGGCATAACAAAGGATGCTGCCCAACAGTTTTGTTATCAAAACCTACATGACGGGTAGATATCGCAGCCAGAAACACCTTTATGGTTGAAAACGCTTTACTCTGATCTAGCAGAAAATATAGAATAACTGCCACTGAGCACTGAAAGGGGATTACGTGTCTAGCCGCGCACCAATGCTCAAACACACCCAAATTACATTCATAGAGTGACCGAGTGGACAGGGCCCTAGAATTCTGTATAGTTATGATGACACTGTCTGGCAAACCAGCCACATTCATATTTAGCCACTCACTGGCCAGGCCCACAGTGCCAGGCGTTCTGGATGAAGATAAAAAATCTCCCCCCTGTCTGTGACAGCAGATCTTTGCGCAGCGGCAGGGACCATGGCTCTGCGTACAGCATATGTATGATCTCTGCCAGCCAATATTTCCCTTGTCACCGCGGAGCTACCAGTATTATTTTCAGTCCCTCCTCCCTCACTCTGTGAAGGGCTGGGGATATCAACGCTATCGGTGGGAACGCGTACAGGAGAGTGCAAGGCCACTCATGCGCCAGTGCATCTATTCCCAAAGGCACGCTCTGATCCTTCAGAGAGAAGAACAGAGGGCATTGAGCATTGTCCTGCAACGCGAACAGATCCACTGTCGCTCTGCCATATATGCTCTAAATTTGACCAGCCACTTCCGTGTTCAGCTTCCACTCTCCATAAAGTGAATTTCCCCTGGACAGCAGATCTGCACCCCGGTTCATGATCCCTTGTAAGTGTGTCGCCCTCAGGGATAAAAGATTGGCATTGCTCCACAAAATCAGTTTGCGTGCCAACATGTGTAAGGGGAGTGATCTGAGACCTCCCTGTCTGTTTATGTAAGCCACAACTGTAGTGTTGTCCGTTATCACGAGAACATGATGTCCATTCAGAAAAGGAAGAAAATGCTTCAACGTTAGAAAGATGGCCAGCATTTCCAAGTAGTTCCAAATGTGACAGTGGCTCAGATGGGGACCCCATCTCCCGTTCACTGCCCTGCCCTTGTGAATGTCCCCCCAGCCAGACAACGACATGTCCGCCGTTATGACCTTCCTGGCCTAGACAACGCCCATAGGTACCCTTTGCACCATAAAGCATGGGCTTCGCCAATTACGCAGTGCCAAGACTGCCGCTGACGTCACTCTCACTCTCCTCCGGGAGTGCCGTAACGGGTCCAGTCTCAGAGAGGCTACCCAGCATTAAAACTTTCTCATAAATAGTCTGCCTAAGGGAATGATTATTAGAGCAGAGGCCATCAGACCTAATAGTATGAGGCATGTGCGAAAAGAAACACTGTTCCCTTTCCAAATTTGGCCAGGCATTGCCTACATTTTATTACTCTCTCATCTGACAGTTGCGCTCTAAATGTCACTGAGTCCAGTAACAACCCCAGATACGTTATTGACTGTCAGGGAACTAAAACACTCTTTTCGAGCAGTAGCCTGCGCAAAGGTCTGCCGAGGAGGTGGAGGGGGCGCAGTCTGCGTCTTCCTTGGGATGCAGAGCTGCAAGGCCTCGTCATCCCTTTTCTTCTCCTCACATCTCTTCTGCATCCGTGTCAGAGCTGAGCCAAAAATGCCTTCTGCGACAACCGGTGTATCTAAAATGGCTTTATTTTCTCTGTTGGAGAGATTAGCCAAATTAAGCCAGCATCCTCTCTCCTGAATGACCATTGTGGCCATGGCCTTGCCCGCAGCCTGAACAGCACATCTCTGAAGACAGAGCGAGAGATCTGTGACGACACAGATTTCTTCCCACTGTGTCTGACTTGGCGTAACAGACACCTCGTCTTGTAGCTCCGCCTGGTATGCGGTGAGCAGAGAGATGGGGTTCATGGCCCGGACTGAGAAAGCGACTGTTTTGTAAGCGCGCTCCTTCATGCTTGACTGGAAGAGGTCCGCTTTTGATGGCAATGTCGGGTTCGCAGCCGCCGTGCGCTTTGGATGCAGATGCGCGACGACTAAAGGCTCCATGGGGGGAATGCGAAGAAGGCCCTCCTTCTCCTTACCCTCCACGTCAAGTGCAGATCCCACTGCCAGTTACTAGTAAAAGGACTGTCCTTCCAGGTGACAGAAACTTCTTCCAGAAGCTCTGGAAAGATTGGAAGAAGTTGTCTCACTGCCCGTTTAGCTCTCGGCAGCCTCTTACCATCATAGCGCGACTTTACAGTCTCAGCTACTACGTTCAGCCACTGAATATTGAGTTTCCGTGGAGAGAAAAATTTATAGTACAGTTAATAAAAGACCTACAATACCAGGAAGGAAGATCGGGTTGTTGATGTTTGTCTACCATTCTCGCTCTGTCTGCACAGCGTACGTGAACGCGCTGATGACATACAGTATCTTGTCTGTGCGAATAGGGTGCGCAGAGGTAGGCTAATACCTTGGACTAAGTGTTTTGATTGGAAGAACATTTCTTGGACCTACGCCTTCCACAGAATATATAAATACAGATAAATACATTTAGACCACTTAACTTAATGATTGTTATCGGGATGTGAAGAGACTTTCAACCAGCATAACAAAAAAAGTTTCTGAAGACAATCACCTATTGCAGCTTTAAACCTGTAAATCTGACATATGAAATAATAGTCAGAAATTTTTTTATTTTTTTTTTATTCATTAGTTTAATTAACCTTTAGACAAAATCAAAAAAAGTTTGCATATGTGTTTTTGTTGAGTATTTATTTTAAACATAAGACTTTTATGGTTCATATAGTGTGGTGTAGTATAATATGGAGCTCATACTCGAGGAGGATGACATATGAAATAATAGTCAGAAATTTTTTTATTTTTTTTTTATTAATTAGTTTAATTAACCTTTAGACAAAATCAAAAAAAGTTTGCATATGTGTTTTTGTTGAGTATTTATTTTAAACATAAGACTTTTATGGTTCATATAGTGTGGTGTAGTATAATATGGAGCTCATACTCGAGGAGGATAAAAAAAAAACACCTCAGTTTTATTCAGAGGCCTAACTGTTCCCAAAATTGCCCAACCAAGTTGGCTGAGTTGCTGATATTTATATGGCCAAAAAGTAAGAGCTTGGTTTAATAGTGTAGTCCAAACTGAAGATAGGATTTGTCTTGGATGTTTCATACACTTTGTATTTCCTAACAGCATTCATTCTCATAGCTTGTAATGTAAATCATTGAGATCTTTATAACAGTGAAGCAGACTACTTACATAGATATTATTTGTCACTCTATATCTCAACAATATCTTAGTAAGAGTCGTTTTTAATGTGGGGAAAAACATATAATGTAATGCAACATAACGATGATTGAAAAAATTAACAAATAAAAAAGATGGTAACAGGCTGAAGAATATTTGGACTAATATCACGGAATCAGCCTAAATTCATCAGAGGCTTGACTGTGGTAGTTCTTGATGGTTGTCATCTGCTTGTTAATGTCAAATGTGTTTCTGATCAGCAGGACTGATTGTCCATCTCCTCATCACTCTGTGTGTTCTTTCCCTGTGGCTAATGTCTCTTTACTGAAAAATGGAAAACATCAGGTAATAATTTTTGATCTCATCCTTGCCTAGTTTCTTAATTTTAACTAAACTTTATTTTAAAATTGTTGTTTTTTTTATTATCTTTTATTGCCGAGTTTAGTCAAAGACTATAGAAGGGACTTTGGTTTAATCTAGCGTAGCGTTAGTTCTGGCAGGTCACGTTAGTCAAGCTCGCATCAGCTGACTCTCAGCTGATCCCCATCAACCTATGAGAATACGACACCTATCTAAGCATTCATATATAAGGTCCCACAGTAGTATCAGCAGTTTTCGCATTCCTCAATAGCTAATTACCCTCCTCAATCCCCAACTCCTCCTCTGTCAGTCAGGATTCAGCCTTCTGATTCTCCTTTGAATCAGACTAATTCTAAAATGTGTACATAACATTATTGAACTTTAACGATATCTTCAATACATTTATGTTGGTTCTGTTCTGTTTACCCTGGGGGGGTTATCGCTGCTCTCCCTGCTCTCATCCAGGCTAGGCTGCATGGATGCGCAGGGAGTTCTTGCCCAGAACGGAACCATACCGCCAATCCAAACTGTATGCTAATTGTCAATCATCGTTGACGATAGTGGTCCTGACAGAAGTATAGTATGTAGAACTGTGTATAGTATGCAATAAGTGTTTCAAATACTAGCATGCTACATTGTTGTCAAATGTTGTCACTATGGCAAATTTATTTCCATTTATGTTCAGTTATGTTAGTAATAAATACATATTTATTTTGAAGTTTTTATTTTACATATCCAGGTTTTATTTGTTTGTTTTTTGCAAAAATTACTTTTTGGCAGTCTGATCAAATAAATCTGGGGGAAATTCTTGTTAAAAATAAAGGTTGACATCACTTTAATTAGTATTATACATTGAGCTCAGGTTGCATGCTGCACATATTGTGCAGTCAGAATATTTGTGGATAAAGAATATTTGCATACTATGCACAGTGGACATATAAAAAAATGCTTTAATAGTATATTATCCTAGTGAAAAATAAATACACTAAATAAATGTATTTAATCTTATTAAGTCAACTACATACAGTACATGTACTTAATAAAAATACCCTGCAATTGAACTTTTAGTATACTAAACTGGTATACTTAAAGTCTGATAAATTGGAACAACTAATTTTGTACTTAATGCACTTTAATTGTGCAGAAGTAGTGCTGAAGTCCAACTAAAGATATACTGAACTATATTTGATTGTGCTAAACTGGAACTATTGCAATTATACTTTAGGTACACTTTAAATGTCTTGCATTTAAAGAACAATATTATAAAAAAAATCATACAATCCTCATCAATAGTGACATTAAAACACATTTTATGCTTAATATTAAGAAAGTGCATTGTGCACAAGTACTGGTAGTTCTCCAAATAAAGTTTAATTATAATTATTATATCAGCGAGTCTTGAGCAACATGTCAGTAAATATGTTAATAGATTTGAACTATACTTAGTATGAAATAAATGTATTTAAAAATTTTTTACTAGGGATTGCAATGCTGTTTGTCTCTTTCCTGCCTACTACAGGTAATGACATACGGTCAGCCTTATCGGATCACACTAGAGCTGGAAATGCCTGAGTCTCCAGCCAATCGGGAGCTGGGAATGTTCCTAGTAAAAATGACTCCCTATTCTAAAGCTGGTCAGATTGTTGACATATCGGCACGTTCTGTAAGTATGCAAACGAGGAGACATGTACACACACACACACACAAAAAAAAGCATTTTAAGTTCAAAGTGTACATCAAATGTTTGCTTCTTGATAGATTACACTATCAACCAGTCAAATTCATTTAATGCTTAAAAGGAATTGTTCACCCAAAAATGACATTTCTATAAGCATTTACTCACTTGTACTCACATTATTCATGTCAAATGGCTTCAAGAGACTTCGAATATAGCACACAAGTCATTTTATGGTGCTTTTCCATAACAGAATTATCATTTTCACATGACATTTCCTATTAAGTAACTGTTGCAAAATGTAGGTTCACCAGGGCGAGTCTTGTTATCTTTCTGAACCCGTTTAGAACATTTTGTTTTCACAATGCATTTATGGTATCTTGTCAGATCGACTCCCATTCTCTCTCTCTGTGTCTCAGGCAATGCTCCATTATCGCTCCTCTCTTCTTCAGGCTCTGGGCACAGTGGTCTTCTCCCCCATGCTGTTAACAGGAGCGTCGGAGCAGAAGCAGTCAGTCATAGTGGAGCTGTACTCTGAATTCAAAGATGATTCTGTGAGTCATGGTTCTGAACGCCCTAGCAACCACATAGAAACACTGCAAAACTACTTAGAACACCTTTAGCATGCAGCTTATCTACAGTATATGAGAAGTGGAACTAAATTTTAGAGCTCATGTAGTATATTTCTCTCTCTCTTTTCTCTGTTCAGTACAACCCCACTGTTGGAGCCATCATTGAGATCCATTCCCAGCATATTCAGATCTACAGAGCTCATCTCTATGTCTTCGCTCACTTTACAGGCATCAGGTTTGTGTTTTGTGTATTCCTGTCGTTTTGCTGGGTTGCTTAAAAAGTCCTCACATTCTCCCATATTTTGTTACTTTAAATAATGTGCTCTGTGTTTGAGATAATCAGCCCAACATTCATCAAACAGATGATGATGTCTTTACGAATCTCTCTGATCTGCACAGGTACCTGCTGTATCGCTTCCCCCTGATATCAGCGCTGATCGGGGTGATGAGTAACTTTACTTTCCTCAGTTTGATCATCGTCCTCAGCTTCCTGCAGTTTAATCTGGGTGGTCGCAGGACTCGTGGAAAGGTACGCTTCTCTAAAATTGAGCATTTAATGTTCAATATACAAGACACTGGCCAAGGGCATACTCTACAAAAGTATGCAAACTTAGATGTGAATGCTTATAAATATGTAATGCGTTAATTATTAATGAGGCTTTTCAAGCCTCAGTACTCAAGGGAGTACAAATGTATGGAAGCTTGTTTTTGCCGATAAAAAAAATGAAGATAATTGTGACATCTCACAATTCAGACTTTTTTTCCTCATAATTGAGTTTATATCTCACAATTCAGACTTTTTTTCGTATAAACTCGTAATTGCAAAATGGTAACCCACAAATCTAAGAAAAGTCAGAATTGTGAGATAAAAACTTGCAATTACACTTTTAATCTGTAGCAGTAGCAAAAACAAACAAAATTTTAAAAAAAATTAAAAAAAAATTTTAATTGCAAGATGTAAACTCAGAATTCTGAGGAACAAAATCTGAATTGCGAGGGGGAAAAAACTGACCATTACATTCTAATGCCGCACTGATCAACACTGATAAAATATAACACGCATTTGCTTTGTCTTACGAATTACACTTCCAACACATTTTTGGATTGAACTGTGTGGTGTGAAATCTAGCTTGTGTACTTGATTTCACATACTTGTATCCAGTATGTTATGGGCATTCTAGCCTTGAAATAGTGGCTTTGTGTTTCTTCTGCGAATGTCTGTGTTAACAACATTTTTTCATACAGTGTTTTCCTTGCTTCAGGCTGTTATGCAACAAGAGGAAAATAATGAACCAGATGACCTGAATGATCAGTCTGAACCCCAGGATGAAGGAAATGCACCAGGTAAAGCCTGGTTTATTCACTGAAATTTTAAAATCAGTTGCAACCCATGTAGTAATTAAAATACTGAAAGTAATATACAGAAACTTAAAATTAATAGTGAAAATTATCAATGCACATTAAAATCAAGAGAAAAAAAATGCCTGTGTGACTTTGTTTCTTCTGTAGAACACAAAAGAAGATATTCTAACCCCACTGATTTCATTGTATGAATAAATGGAAACATTTTTCAAAATATCTTGTTTTGTGTTCCACAAACAATGTGGAGAGAAAGGTTTAACTTTCCCTTTGCTCATTTGCTAAACTAGCTTTTCCTGTCTTGTTGCTTTTTTGATGTGCATTGATCATATATCTTTATACAGCCACTACAACACATTTGTTGGATCCCCCCAATTATTATAGAAAATTTCGATGCCATAGGGTGCAATTCAGTGGAGGTGGAAGAATCCATTCCAGATGTGGGGGTGGAGGAGAGTGAAGATGACTCCAGAGAACTTGCTGAAGATGAACCCACCTGTGAGGCTGGGGATGGAGAAATGATTTTGAGGAACAGGAATTTGTCACAGAGCATGTTACAGTCATCTCAAGCGTTAACAGACACCACAGATAAAACTTACTACCGTGTTGGTGTCTGTTCAAGCTGCTAGAGAGTGAAAGGAGCTGTCAGCTAAATGAGGGTAAAGGTTATGAAAAGCAAAGGCCACCCACTGGATTTCATAGATTTGGTAACAATGTCCTTGTTTTAAAAATGTGGACTTGATGCTAGCCCTAATCACTTGTATCATTATTTAAAAAAAAAAAATCAAGACAACCACGAATATTCAGTATAGTAACCATTTATTGTCTACCAAATATCGACATAACCTGTATATCCAAAACTGACCTTTCTAGACATATCCTTTGTTGTTCTTCTTCTTATATTCCACAACACTGAAAACAGTGAGACTGTGCCAATAAATAACCAAAGGCGGAGAATGTCATTTGTTTGTGGTTTATGTCTGGAAAATAACATTATTAATTTGCATTCATTTACATGTATTCCACTTTTAAAAATGCAGAGACAACTAGAGAAATATCCACTTGTGTTGTAAGAAGGATATTAAATTTACTGAAATTTATTTATGGACATTTATAATCATAATTTTAACATGAAAAAAAAACGTAATTTGAAAAAAATACAATAAATAAAGTTGTAAAAAATACTTTATAATATTGGCTGTACTGTTTTTATAAATAAAAATACTGCACAATTGTAGAGAGAATTTAATAAGACTCCAAATTAAATTACAATTTGTGGCAAGATGTATATCCACCGAACAAGTTTAGTTTAAATTTTTTTTTTTAAATTTCCCTCCAAGTGGCTTCATGAAAGACTTGGATTCTCCTCCAGAAAGAATGAGCACATTGTCAGAGAAGAAGAGCAATGGAAGTGATGGGGAGAGCATGAGAGATGCCATAGAAGAAAGGATTTTTGATTTCTCACCATCCTCAATCAATCAAAGTAATCATATCAAGAAAACTGGCTTCAGAGCCAGACCTAAACTGGCCTCTGCTCATGCCGTCCTTTCATCCAAGCTAGAAGATCCAGCAGAAATGCAGACAAATGCATACGAGGAAGCAGAGGATATGAAACCAGAACCTTCGGAGCACATTTGCATGGATCCTCTACCAATACCTGCAGGAGAAACGACCCAGGACAAAGACGTAGAAGAGCAGAAAGTGAAAGAGAGGGTGACGGCAAGTGAAAATCTTGTTGAGGAGGGTTCAAAAGTGGCGTTGAATGCAGCAAGTAGGAAAAGCCTGTGGCGAAGCAAGCTTGAACTGAGGGAAAGACTTAAGGAAGGGATGCGGGAAAGGCTGGGAGCAAGTCTGGAGAGTATCGATGAGAGTAACGAGGGAGATTTCAGCAACAAACGACTGCACAGGAAGAAGAGTTGGGGTTCAAGACAGAGAAACACACAAACGCTTGGGTCATCACGGGATGGAGAACGTTATGTAAAGGAAAGTATGGAGAAAGATGGTGAGGAAGAATTAGTTCCACACCCTGTTCTCTCTCGGGTTCTCTTTCACTCCTCAGCTTCGTCCTCGTCTTCCTTCAACAACTCCTCAGCAGAAAGTGATGAGGTTTTCAGTGAAAATGAGGACACTGTTGCCAGGAGGCAGACCATGAAGAAGGTGAGTGGAACTCTGGGAAGGCTTAGAAAGCACAAAGCAGTTTATCTTGATTCTGCAGAATCTCTCAGGACCAGTGAACTGGTGTCAGGATCAGTCTGACCTGTGGACTAACAGAAATGTTCTGTATTTTTTCGGTGCACTGAAACGTATCAGACCATTTGCATGATTCTGAAAGTGTACCCATAACATTGCGTATTTGAATAAGCTATTTGCATTGTACTGTAGACCGAGATGCTAGAGTAGCATGTTACTGTCACATTTGCAATATTCCCCAACTTGATAAACACACAATATACCCCATAATGGACAAGCAGTGGGCAATGTCTATGGGTCTGAACAGTTTCACAGTGGGTAGAGTATAACTGTAAAGCATGCTCTTTTATGAACAAATTTGGAAAATTAAACCCAAATATTTGTTTTTAAGGTACTGTTAGATCCCTGCCACTAAATGACTCCCATTTCTTTCCCAGTGTCGATCTTGGAGAACGTTTTTGACCATGATGCAGTGGTCCAAACATACACAAAGCTCATGGATCCAGCTAGCAGGACACCAAGGTACTCAAGATTTTGACCCTGACCATACCTTCACTTTCTATCAAAATACATTAGGTTATAGAAGTAAAATAGGTTTGAACATTTCTTTTGTATCTGCCTTGTCCATGACCAGTATTTTGAAGACAGAAAATGAGTTTTATACATTCGGTCTAGGTAACGTGAGGCTGAGTGAGGGCGGTGAGGTGCTGAAGAGGTTTTGTGAGGTGGAGGACATCTGTCTACAGGCCCTTATGTCTGATGCACTCTGTCAGTTCGTGCCTCATTATTTCGGGCACATCAGTCAGGATGGAGAGCGATACATCCGACTAGAAGATCTGCTTAGCGGGCTCAAAAATCCTGTCATTATGGACTGCAAAATGGGTGTCCGGTAGGAAGGAAGGAACCCAACAGCTTACTTTAAATACTGATGAATTTTTGACTTAATATATTTAGTTTAGACTATATTTGTTCTCTTAAAGGGATAGTTCACCCAAAATTAAAATTTTATGTTTATCTGCTTACCCCCATGGCATCCATGATGTAGGTGACTTTGTTTCTTCAGTAAAACACAAATGATGATTTGTAACTTTTCACAAACAAAAGATTTTTAACGCATTCTCAGAAGCATCTTCTTCTTGTTTTACGGCGGATCGCAGACTTCTAAGTGCATTACCGCCACCTATCACTCAAATGGACCATTGACACTCCTAATTGAGATTGTAGATAGAGTGTCAATGGTCCATTTGAGTGATAGGTGGCGGTAATGCACTTAGAAGTCTGCGATCCGCCGTAAAGCAAGAAGAAGAAGACGCGATGCCCTGGGGGTAAACAGATAAACATCAAATTTTCATTTTTGGGTTAACTACTACTGTCACGATGTTTAGCTGAGTATCTCAAAGTGTGAGACAATACTTTAAAATAATGGAATTTGTGGGTATGTTTTATAAAATCATGATGCATTTGCCTGCAAGACAATATTAGTGTTGCACAAATGTTCTAATAATTAATACACCAGAATTTTGGGAACTGAATTTTTTTTTGGCTTTGGTCAAAATCATTTTGGAGCGCCAAAATCATTGACCGAAACAGTTACTTTTCAATTAGTGCTTCTCCAATTATGCATTTTGACCATGTGAGGGACTATTTCGTGCACTCAACATGGATAAGCTACAACAGGTCAACATGTCAGCAGTGTGAACACCGACTGGTTTAATGTATTACCTGAGAACACGACACCATGAACAGCATCTGAGTTCTACTGTCTATTTACACAAATTTCACTTTATTTTTGGTTTCCGTCTAAATGAAAACTTCAGTTTGAGTGTTTCTGTAAAAATTCATTTCAGTGGATTTCTAGTTCTGATCACCTCCAAATACCATTTTAGTTTGCTACTCTATGCTTCATTGACCTTATAAATGCACAATATTTGAACAATAATGCAGTACCATCTGAACCTATGGCATTACTTGCAGGACATACCAAGAGGAAGAGATCATTAAGGCCAGGAGCAATGCCAGTGTACGCTCTGATATGTATCAAAAGATGGTGAAAGTAGATTCGGCAGCTCCCACAGCAGAAGAACATGCACAGAAAGGTGTGACGAAGCTGCATTACCTGCAATGGAGGGATGACAGCAGTTCCACCTCCTCACTGGGATTCCGCATAGAAGGCATAGTGGTACGAAACATGAGGCTAAAGACCTGGTCACAATGATAACTATAACTATATAAGCACGTGCTGCAGTTCTGTTGTCTGCCGCTTTAAATGCTCAAGATATTTAAAGCAGGATGAATTCTGATTGGCTGTCAATGCTTTGCCAATGTCATTCATCAGCTGGAAAAAATTTTTTTGTGAAAGTGATTCCAACGATTTTGCTCCTCTATGCTATTATCATTATTTGTGTGTTGTGGACTCTGCTATTCTTTTCCATTTAAAACAGTTTTTAAAACTATATAATTATAGTCATTGTCTTTGGTGTGAATGGACTTTGAAGGACTAACTGGCCGTCCTATTAATTTTTTTACTTTTTCTCACAATTTTTTTTTCCAGATGGGGAACGGTAAAGTATTACGAGACTTTTACAAGACACGCACAGAAGCTCAAGTGACAGAAACACTGATAAACTTCACTAGGAGGCAGGTTCACATTCTAGTGAGTGCTCACCATTTCATACTTAAAGTTTACTAATTATTTTAGTCTCAAACTCACACAGATATAAATAAATAAAACATCTGGCGATTCAGTTAGTTCCTAATTGATAAAATGAAATTCACTTAGCCCATGTTTGCATATCTTGTTTTACCTTGAAATACCGTATGTCACATTGTTGAAGTAAATTGGGTCGTGAATGGGGATTCATGTTGACTTTAAACAGTATATTTTAGCATGCTTATATGATTATTATTCTACACAAAATATGCCTGCTTGAAAATATAATTGGAATACAGTAGTGAACATTTGAAGTGGATCAAAAAAGTTCATCAAAGTTGTCCTAAGACGAGAACGCATTTTGGTTTTAGGTTTTAGGACAACTTTGTTGACTACTATATATCAAAAACAATTGCAGTTCATCTCAAATACATCAAAATATCCTCAATTTGTCACTTTGTGTATCTCAGGAGGCCTACGAATCCAGATTACAGGCACTGAACGAAGCACTCAAGGAGTCAAGCTTTTTCAACAGACATGAGGTTAGTGTGAAACTTTAAATTTGTCACCATTATCTGATGGTTTCAGTTCTCTTCTATACTACATTACGTTCCGTTTGAAGCCTTAAAAATAAGAAGAGAATTGCCATTTTGAGCTGTGGAATTTCTCTAGAGACTTTACATGTTTGTTCTACAATAGAAATCATGCACATTTACCTCAAACATAAAATTTAAAGCTGTACAGCTCTGTTTTAATCCCAAAACACAGTTTATGGGAATGTTGATTCCGCTCTGCCTCTGAATTAACATCATCTCAACTTCTCACAGCTCATAGGCAGCTCTTTACTTTTCGTCCACGACTGCAGCAGCAAAGCAAACATATGGATGATCGATTTTGGAAAGACCATCCCAACCCCAGAGGATGTCCGGCTAAGGCATGATGTTCCATGGGTGGAGGGAAACAGGGAGGATGGGTACCTCATCGGACTGACCTCCCTCATCACTTTGCTGGGTGAAGCCATCAAGCAAGCAGGGGAGCAAAGCGGAGAGTGACCTCATATATACAGATGATTTCATGTTAGATCTATCAATAGACAACCGAACAGTCTTTTGGGCATTACACATCGTTACAGGTCTATAAAGCTTTAGTTAACAGTATTATTAATTAAGCACGTGTGTTGCTATTGTTCTTGCGGAATTAGTCACCAGTTTTTTTTTTTTTACATATAAAAGTTTGTCTATTAAATGTTTGATATGCTAAAAGTATTGTTTGTGTATTCTTTCTTCCAGCTAATGATCATCCAAAGGGACAGTTCACCCAAAAATTTAAATTATATAATCATTTACTCACCCTCAAGTTATTCCAAACCTGTATGAGTATCTTTCTTCTGTTGAACACAAATGAAGATGTTTTGAAGATTGTTGGTAACTATAACAGTTGACGGTAGCCATTGACTTGCATAGTATTTTCTTCCAACTGTTTGGTTACCAACATTCTTCAAAATATCTTTCCCTTTAATAAGCATCACCGTATTGCACATATTATGCTACAGACATGCATAATATCTCAAATTGTGTAGCTTCTTGAGGGGACATGAGTTACTAATTTTCTAAGCAATTGCACTGATTTTCACTTGGCACAACACTACATAGATTTGCTCTGCACACCAATCCATATCTAGTGACCAGAGTAGCATTTACACCTGAAAGCAGGCTCTTTTGACTTGGATAAGTTGGCAACCACCTACAACACACTAGCAACTGCATAGCAACCTACAAACACTCAAAACACATTAGCAACCATGGCAATGCCCTAGCAACTGGCCACAACACAAACAAATCACACTTTATTTAAAAAATCTAAAAATATAGTTTTAAAATGGACTACTTTTTAACTGTCAGGGCTTAAAAAAAATGGTTAGTTTATTAACCCAGCTGAATAAATTATGCATGTTATATATTTTTTTAGAAATGTCGAATTTATAGAAAGGTTAGATAGAAAATGCAACTACCTTCGATGCTTGTGTTTTGGAACGGATCCATGCAAGACTTTGCTCTTGAGACTTGCGCAGGCTCGTGTTTTCTACACAAGATGAAGCGCATTTTCACGTGCGTCAGTAAGAGCACGTGCAAGCGGTTGTGCGCAATTATCTAAAATTGAGTCGGTGCAAGATGACTCGATACCGGGAATGGTACCCCAACCTGTCTGTGATAACACGGGTTTGCGAGAGTTCTTCAGGTACAAATGTTATCGTGATTTATGTCCGAATATCAACATGTGGTTTAGTGTCTTGCGAAACAGTAACGTTGCTGAACAAAAGTTGCACGGCATGATATTGATTAATGCGGATTTATTGACAGGTTTGATTGTGATCAGCTGCTCATCTTTACATTTTCATTATATCATTGTTGTTTTTATATTACTAATAAACCTTTAGCACGTCAACATTATTCGGTGCAAAAAGTGAAGCATGATGATGAGTGATGTCACCCCCTATTAGTGCTCAATGCACATGCTGATAATTCATGCTGAATTGGGTCAAATGAAACCTAGTATGTTTTAACAGGACAAACGTGCAGATAGAACTATTGGAATACATTTCAAAGTTGCAGTACATGTAGGAGCATGTGTTTCTGGGCATGTAGTTGTGATATTTTACACCACTGTGCACCAAGGAGGAGAAAAATATGTAATATTTTAATGTTATATGTTGCTATCATCGAATTTATTTAATTTGCATAATGCATTTAGCAAACGTTTTTATCCAAAGCGACTTACAAAAGAGGAACAAAAGCAACTCGCTGCGGTGCTAGCAATATTTGTACAATTTAGTGTACAAATGAAATATAGGCTAACTTAGACCTAGCAAGCGTGCCATAGAAAAGGAGAAATGTAGAAAAGTAGGAAAAAACGATTCCACCATTATCTGCAAAGGCGACATTCTACTAAAACAAAAGTTTTGTTTACACACAGCTAAATATAATTCATCCGTATTTGAATACGTAGTAGGAAAGCAACGTTAGGAATTAAGTTTTTATTTTTTTGGCGCCGAGAAACCCGAATGATAGTGTATTTTGGGAATTGTAGTTTTTCACTTATGCTTGTTGATGCATTATGGGTATTGTATTTCAGTATGATGTTTGTTCCCCATTTCCTTTAAATAATTTTTTTGAACACTCTATTTATTAAGTTTTTACAATGAAATATATCCTTTAAATAATCGTATTCTAGTTAACTAAATGAGAACTCAGTAGTTTTGTAGTTATCGGCCGCTGCTCTTGTACAGTCCATGAACAACAACAATCTGAGATGCTTGAATCTTTTCCTCCCCTTCCTTTAGATCCCAGTGGCTCTGCTGTAGTTAGAGAGGTGTGGAGCACTGAAAGCTCTTTCACAGGTAAAACTGCACCTTGCTGCTATCAGGCCTCACCCTTTGTATTGTATTTGGACAATTTAAGTTTAATTTAAAACAATTCAATTTTTGTCCATGTGAACAGAGAGATATGGCTAGAATACTATTCCATTCCTCATGATTTGTTTGGTGGTGTTTGACTGTCTATTTCATGTCTTCTTTTTGTAGTAGTTGTGCAGAAGATTGTTTTAGGATGACAAGCACTTAAAAATATCCTAAAAATAAATAGCAAGCAAATGTAATATTGCTTTTGCAGACAAATGCAAAAGTGCATGACTTCCATTGTTAATGTTTTGCATGACTTCTCATTTAAATATTAACATGGATAATATTGAATGTAACTTCACATATCTGTTGTATTTATAATTTCTTCATTAACCAAAAAATTAAATAGATTGATTAAAAATATTAGATGGTGTGCCGCATTCAAGAAATTTTTCATTTTTGTTATCAAAACCTGTTTCAACAGCCTGTGCTATAGGTGTTTTTATTATTATTATTATTTATTTATTTTTGACAATTTGCATGTTTAATATATTGAGCACTAAACTGATAAGCACATCTTATCAAATGTACAGTGGCACACTGCCGTTTATGGAAAACCTGATATTTGTGATGCATGTTTGTGTTTCAGATCATGACGGCCGCTGGTTGGGGGTGCGTCGAGGTTGGGGGTCCATCAAGGCTCGTCTACACAGTGATACAGTTCGCTTGCAGCATCGAGGTGCAGCCCCGGTACCCCGCAGCAGGTTTCAGGGCGGCAGTGTTGATGTGTCTGTGATGGCTAGTCAGAATGGGAAGTCCCAACACAGATTGTAAGTGTTTTTGCAAATGATTCAGCTTCATAAATAAAGATTGTATCTATGTAAGGAATGTTTCATGTAATTCCCAATCCATGTTATGCTTTTCCTGCAGTATTCCATATGGCCGTTCTAGTCAGAGAGGAGAGGGGGGGATGGACAAGATTGGAGGGGGAAACGCGCACAGATTCGGAGCAGAAGATGCAGAGAGAGGAGGGGAAAATTGGTTTAAAATTACAGTAAGAGTTAAACTATTCCTGTTAAAACTTGCATCACTTGCTCACCGATGGATCCTCTGCAGTAAATGGGTGCCATCAAAATGACCAAAGTGCCAGTCCAAACAGCTGATAAAATCCACATACTCCACTCCATCAATTAATGTCTTGTGAAGTACAAAGCTTTGTGTTTGTAATAAGTCCATCATTAAGGTATTTTAACTGTTGCTTCCAGCTAAAATACATGTCCGAATCCATAGTAACATATGTAATTATATTTGCTTAGAATATAAAACATATTTGTTTAGAACTGTTTTAAACTGTTTTAACTTGTAACGGGTGCTTGATCTGAGCCTGTTCCTCTCCTGATTCAGATGAGATGACTTTTACACAGGAGAGAGCAATATAGAGAGTAGTGTTGTCACGGTTTCTAAAATGTCAGTATTCGGTACCAATACCAGTGAAAATCCACGGTTCTCTGTACCAATTTCGGTACCAAAGCAAAACACAAAAACATGCTAATTAAAAAATGTGACTATACTTTCATTTAATCCAAACTGTGTACATATTTAATTTTAAAGGGCTTTTAAAACCTTCTAAAGTTATTCAGCCAAGAATAACAACTAAGTTAGCTTTGTAAAAATAAAAAATAAAAATAATAAAAAAAGCCCAGAACTGCTTTTCTTACTAATATGACACAAACAATGTTAACCATTTGTACATTCTCTAACACGTATATATTATAGATTCACAATTCATTTAAAAGCCTCTGGTGTGTAAAAATAGTAAATATCATCATGTCCTCCTTTTTTTTTACCCTAATAAAAGTTATAGGAGCATTAAATGGTTAATAAAGAAACTTCATTCTAATGCTCATTATATTAGCGTTAGCCGCGCTTATGCTAACGATTCACTAGGCCTACTCTAATAACAGCGTATGCAATATATGCAAATTCATTCAGGAGGCGCTTGTAGAGCGGTAGAGATAGAGGTTTCCCGGTAACGCTGTAATCAAATAAGCCGCTCCGCTCACAAACGCTGCTTTAGGGGTGCTCCGATTGATCGGCTACCGATCACTATCGGCCGATAATCACGTTGGGATGTTTGATCGGCGGTCTCTAAAAAGGCTGATCTCAAAAAAACGATCTCAAGCTGATGAGGCTGCCGTGAGAGGTTTGGCATGACATGCAGCGTCACCGTCTCAGTCTCTGTCAGGCGCGGGTGAAATACTTATAATACTGAAGATGAGGTACTCACTCATATTTTTTCATTAAATAACTTATAAAGTAATTTGAAAACCTTGTGTGAGACGTAATTTCACAAACAGCATGAGTGAATCACCGCGCGCTCTCTTTCTCTCTCAAAATATGCAATTGGCTTCAAATCACCACACATCGTGTCTGTCTATAAGCGAGCTGCACGCTGCACAGTTGACACAGGAATTGTTACTTGCACAGTCGAGGCAGTGTCACATCGTCACTAAAGTTTATAAATTGCATTTCTTTTTAATTCTTGCCAGTGTTTAACCATTCAGCGCTCGCGCGCTCTCCTGGAGACCGTGCACTCATGCACACTGGCAGCACACACACATAATGCCAAGTTCACACACACTCCGTTTGCAGTGCGTATTTTTTCCACGCTCATGTTAAAGGGGTCATATGATGCAATTTCAAGTTTTCCTTTCTTTTTGGAGTGTTACAAGCTTATTGTGCATAGATAAGATCCTTGAAGTTGCAAAGACTAAAGTCTCAAATCCAAAGAGATAATTCTTTATCAAAGTTAAGACTCTGCCACGCCCCCCTAAAACGGCTCGTTCTAACACGCCCCCACATGTCTACGTCACTATGTGGAAATATGTGTTTTATTTTAATATCATTTTCAAATTTGCAATAAAATTTAGTTTAGTTTTTTTAGTTTCATTAATAATTTTGTTAGTTTTAGTTTAGTTTTTATTTTGTGAACACATTTCTATTTAGCTTTTATATAGTTTAGTTTTAGTAATTAAAGTTTATTAGATCACTTCCAGAGCTTATTTAATTTGAAAATAAATGTAGCTCATTTCTTTATATTATAGCCTATGTCTTTCATCTTATTTAACTATAATCATGATGCCGTAACTGTAGTGTCTTGCTCACTTTCCCATGAACCAATAATAATAGCGGAGCCTCAACATTGGATTTGCAGCGTTGCGCATTCTGTCACATTCTGCCATTCGCGCTGAAGTGAATGACAGCTTGGGAGCCACTCATTGCTCGCTTTCTGTAGCCTATATCATTTACTTTTAAGATTTATTTCTAATGCTTCTGTAAAGGACTAACGGCCGCATAGCCTATACACTGCAGAGTTTAAGACAATGGCACTTAACAGTAAAGTCATATCTAAATATGTTCTTTTCATTTATGAAGATTTAAGTATGTAGTTTATGCACATTTGTTCAAAACAGCCTGGCAGATTGTTCACAAGATGTAGGCAAAAGTTTGTATTGTATACAGGAAGGATGCGCGTTCTTATCATTCTTCTGTTGCGCTGCTTGTCTATTTCTCTTCAAAGCACCAACTTAAAATGCCTATTTTGGTTTGATTGCGTGTCACATGAGAAAATAAATAATTTTGCCTTACTGATGCAGTAGCCTATTTAATATGGGTGTGGTTCTGATTGTCTTTGTCAAACGGGTCGGGTACAGAATTAAATCGATGCTGGGTGCTGTCGGTTAACGGGTCGGGTGTTCTGTTGTGTCTAACAGGACCCGTGGAGGACTCTGCTTTAAACTGCTTTGCGTCTCTCCGTCAGATAACCTCACGTGCATGATGCGCCATTTATGAGTATTTCCCTAAACGACACGCATCAATTTATTTAGATTTTTAAAAATTTTATTTCAGTTTACGAAAATGTTTTTTGACCAATCGTTTTAATCTAATCTATGTCCTGATAACTGTTTGTTGTTTATAGCAGTGACCCCCATTAAAAAAAACAATCCAAAAAATAAAGTTTTTATTAAATGCAACCACAGCAGAAACATTAAAATAATGACATTAACAACTAGGGGTGCAGCGATTAACCGGTTTCACGATTAACCGCGCTTTAAAACGTCACGGTTAATTAATCGTAAAGGTTCCGCTAAACCGAGTGTTTCTGTTACACGGAACAGAGCTGTTGCAGCTTGCGCAAAACGAAAACGAAGTTACACTAGCGGTGCACCAGCTTAAAATGACGTGCTTATCAGAGGCATGGAGGCTACTACATGCATTAGATTAACTGTGACAGAGGGACCAAACAGCAAAGCTTTATTTCCATGTCATTTAAATATTGCTGTAAAAAAGAGCGAACACATAAGGGATTTTAATGCACGTCGTGAAGGTAAGAACCACCTGACGCGAAGCTACAGCTCGTTAGCTCAACATTCTGCCCGCTTCAGATCAGAAAGAGATGAAATAGTGCTGTAAGATCACATTTATTTGAATTAATGAATTATAACATTTAGCTACTTGAATTAATTATGAGAGAGAGAGAGAGAGAGGTGTGTGACAGTTGCCTGTGTGAATTAGCCTACCTGCGTCTGTGCGCCTCTCCAGTAGGCTATTTTATTAATAAAAGTCACGAGGCGGCATTCTCAAGAAGTTTGTGTCCTCCTGAATATTTGTACACGTGCACAGCGCGATATCCGATCTCACAATCCAAAATAATAGACATGATTTTCCCAGCCCACATGTAAAATCATATGAATTATTATAAAGATTATTAAAATTAATACGTATGGATGACGTTGATGATAATATTTCAGTTTAATTCCATCATTAGTAACAGTTTCCCCTGTGGGACAAATAAAGTTAATATCAGTCGTAAGAGTGTTCATGTGATTTTATACATTAGTAATGTTGGGAAATTAATAAATGCATAACAATCGTCATAATCGTAAAACCGTGATTATTCCTCAGACAATAATAGTACCAACAAAATATATAATCGTTGCATCCCTATTAACAACCGACTCCAAATGAACCAAAAGTTGGTTGGGTGATTACAACATAACATGTTATCTAATAACATGTATTATGTTAAAATAAAGTTTTGAAAAAAAAAAATAATTTTTTATAAAATAATAAAATCTTACATTTCAGACTTTTTAATTATTTAAAAATTATTAAAAATAAAAAATTAGAAATTATTTTAAAGAAATCTATTTTTATGAACCCCCCCCCCCCCCCCCCCCCGTGGGCTAATGGCTGTTTCGTGCTGTTTTTTTTATGGTTTAATTATTAGCATTTCATCAACTCCCCCATCAGTTTATGTTCCTCATTTTGGAAAATCCTTCTTTTTAAACAAATAATTAAGAGTTTGAAGTAACATTTCTCTCTTTCTTTGATCCTTTTTAGTTGTTGTGTTTGAATCTGAGTAACAATAAGCTGTGTAAGCTGACTGACATTGCAGAACTTGTGAACAAAGCCCCTAACCTGCAGTCCCTGAACCTGTCTCATAATGAGGTGAGAGTCACTCAGGCCCTGCTGTTATCATCTGTTAGCACTATCTTCTCGCAGTATTAGCCTCAGTCTTTAATTCTTCAGTTTCTTTTTACTCGACTGCAAGCTCCACAGAATTTACTTTCAGTATCTGTTGTGTTGCTATATTGTCTTTTCATTCTCTGTTTGCAGCTGAAGTCAGAGCAAGAGCTGGATAAGGTGAAGGGGTTCAGGCTGGTGGAGCTCTGGTTGGACAGGAACCCTCTGTGTGATGCCTTCAAAGATCAGACCACATACATCAGGTCAGTGCCAGTGACACGGCAAGGGTAAAGGTCAAAGTTGGTATAATTAGCTGAAAGAATACTTAAAATAATCACGGTTCCTCATAGACATGAATCCTAGACCTGTTGGTAAAGTAACTATAGTAAATCACTAGTTCTTTAAAAGCCTGAAGGTATAAGGTAGCCTAATTTTAAAAGTGATTTATAGACCTGAAAAATTTAAATTTAAGAAAACAGGCATTTTGGATATCGTTGTGGACAATAGAGGGCCTTGAAGTCAGAAAGGTTGAGAACCACTGGCCTAAAAGAAGATGGACTATTTTCAGATGATCTAATGGTGCTTTTCCACTGCATGGTACGACTCGGCTCGGTACAGCACGGTTCGGCTCGGCACGGTTTGCGTTTCCACAGCAGTTCAGTACCACTTTAAAGTGGGCGGGATTATTCACATGTCATTATAGTTGCACCGCCTCTACTACCACGACTCCTAAAAAAAAAACTTTCATTCTGCGTCGCCCCATCAAGCTCTCGCTGGATCTGCTCCTCTGCTATCAACGAGAGGAACGTCTGTTCTTCCGCAACAGACAACAAAACTTTTTGGTTGTTAAAAAAAGGTGCGCTCGTTCAAAACGGTTGCGTTCGATCCTTCGCTGGCTGTGCTGATTTAAATCTAGCGGTTGTGTTTGTGTCGCAAGTTCAGTGACGCAGGTAGTGACGATTCTCTCCAGCCAATCCGTGATCAGCAGAGTTTACACGTCACGTTTTGGTAACGATACGGTTCACTTGGAACCCCAACCGAGGTGGTACTAAAAAAAGTACCAGGTACTGTACCCAGTGGAAAACCCCCAAAAAGTGAACCATACCGAGCCGTACCATGCAGTGGAAAAGCGCCATAAGTAGCATCCATGATGCTTCACCCTGACACAGTTACAGAGTCCAGTACAGTCTTATAGTCCATAAAATCTCATATAGTCCCATTCTGTCCCACACAGTCTTGTAGTACTTAATATACCTGGAATATCATCAAAAATAATCATCAAAACTTGGGATTGCAGATGTTAGCACATGAACAACCATTCATAATTCATTGCTTGTGGTTTATTTCATCTGCTTCAGAGTATCCATCATTATTTAGTTACTGTGGTTCAGAACAAATTGTAAGTTGTCTGAATAAATTGCGATGTTTCTGTCTTTTATATGGCACTCTGTTCATTTGTTATAAGTGCATTCACATGTGCAAGTGTGTGACGGACTGACATGTCCAGAATTTCTTTCATTTCAGTTGGATTTTCTTTCTTCTCTCCAAATCTCCTGTGTTGATTCTGGGGCTTTAACAAAACCATTACTCTTTTTTTCTTTCCTTTAAAATCAACATCGGTTATGCATGAAGTTGATCCCAGCCTTCATAACAGGGAACTGAATAAATAATCATATTAAATATATAGGCTATTTTTCAAGATAGTTATAATAAGTTTAAATAAAAAAATAGCACTTTATTTTCTTCCTTATCAAGACATCCACAGGAAATAGTATGGTGGCATTTCAAGGGAAATCAGTCCACGTTTTTTTGCTGCAAAATGTAGTAAATGTTGTTTGCTCATGTTCATCTTTTCCCCGTCCCTGTATTCCTGCTCCAATCAGACTGCCTTTTCTGGATAGCCAGTGACTGATAAGATCCCACTCTCGTGTCTACTACAAAAAGCCTACAGTGATGACAATGAAGAAGGAAGTTGATGGAAGGAAGATGGCTGTTCCAAAACTCCATGTTGTTGTATAAAAATGGCTTGGGGACCACTTTTCATGCTAGAGAGTGTGAGATGGGAAGTGCTCCTGAAAACAGGGATAAATTAATCCTACTAATAAAAAAATTAAACGAAATAAGACCGTTTATGTCTATGTGGCAAGTCAGTACTGGTGTAAAGAGGACTCTGTTTTGGAGCTGCTGGGATCGGTTTCATTGTATAACTGTTTCTTTCATATAGCTAACTTTGTTCATGGCTATTTTTAAGCTGGGGTTCATTGGCTGTTTCGCTAGAAGATACTTTTTGATGGTTATCAGGGCATCAATGCCAAGACTACTTTAGGGCTCTTCAGTTAGCTTCACTTGAGGGCCAGATGATCAGACTGAAGATTTGAAGTGGGCCAAGGGGCAGGGAGGCCTATAAATTGAGAAATCAACCCGAAAAGCCTATTCAGCAGTAAAGTGAACTGATATTAACAATAGTAAAACATAAAAATGTATTGGGTTAAATTAAATTCTAAATTCTGACTGCATGAATATGCATGGCTCCTTCTCACTAATATGGTTAAATGTAACTATGATTTTGATTAAGGTTTCAACAAAACTATATTTGTTTTAAAAACAATAGTCTAAACATTGGTAAAAAAAAAACTACACGCGCACACAAACTGCTATAGTTTATAACAAAAATGTATTATATTACTCCCATAATAAATGCAATACATGACTATATTAATAATGTATTATTCAATTGAATATACCACATTTCTACCAAACCATGGTTAATACGAATAGTGTTATTACAGTACATTCATGGTAAATGTTTGTAAGGGTGGTGATTTGGGGATTTATTCTAATTTGTTGATTCATAACACAATGTTTCTCCTGTTTTCGTCATCAGTCATGTGAGGCTGTTTCATCTCATTTTAAAATAGTTTAATTATAAAGTAAATTGTGGCTTCTAACAGATATGTGTGTGTCAAACTTAGATGCTTCTCACTTGATGTCGCACACCATTTAATGATGGTGTCTAGGAGTAAACTCAAAGTATATATCGGTTTTCACGGATACATTCAGCATAAGTGTACATCTTAATGCTTCTTTTGAATGAAGATGAATGGTGGGTCACCAATTGAATAACTCTGCTTTTTCTGATAACCTGTTGAGTCTGCAGTCATCAATTTTTCTTAAATACACTCGTGTGCATTCATAAATGTATAATAAAGCCACATCACCCAACACAGTTGTTTTTCACTGAGCTTGTATAGCTTTCATTCACAAAGTCATTTGAGAACTCGTCTATGTCTGTTGAAGTAGAAATACTTTCTCTTATTCAAATTTAATAATCAGAGAATGTTTCCGTAAGCCATTTCTAGGTGAAAGATTTTTATTTTCTTGTGATGATCTTGCGTTTTGTACTGGTGTGTAAGTGACTGACAGCAGTTGGGTTTAAAATCTAAAAATTTAACCAATTCACACAGAGAGAGTGTTGCAAATAGGGTTAAAATGTATAAAAATAAATATATTCTGTGCTGAACCTGGTACAGTATTGTTTCATTTGATTTTATGACAGATTTTAGAAATCATTTGCTGTGTTTGCATACACAAATAAAAATCAGGAGAAGTGGCTTGGGAGTGCACAGGTGATTGTGATGTGTGTGTGCCTGCTGGAATGATCAGGTGCGTCACTGTTTTCCTCTTGTCTTGTGACAGTGCTGTTCGGGAGAGATTTCCCAGGCTTCTCAGATTGGTGAGGGCTTTTTATTTGTCAATAATGTTTTGAACTAACAGGACTCAATGTACGGTACAGTTATTAGTGTTTGTTAGAAATAAAGTCAGTCAATCATTAATTGGTCAAGGACAGGAAGCCTGATTCCAGGCTTGCTGCCAAAAGAACACATTGCTTAAGTGTCATTGTACACTTTTCTCAGAAATACTATCATTGTAAGCAATAAGAAATCAAAATTGTTACTGTTTACCTGTTGATGTGCGTAATTAAGCAGTGCATGTTATTTTAGAGAAACAATCTTTGTATTTATAATCTATCATCAAAATGTGATCACTAGCATTTGCAGGAGTGAATCGAATGTGTTATTTCTGTAGGACGGTCATGTGCTTCCACCTCCAATCTGCTTTGACGTGGAAACAGGCACAAACATCCCTGCTTGCAAGGTAACCCAAGAGTCTGCAGTGTTATATTGACCTGAGGAGTGTTAATGTGAAGTTTTTGACTGGATGTGTCTGTGTAACTAATTCAGGGCAGCCACTTTGTATCGAATGAAATCCAGGGACTCATTCAACATTTTCTGCAACAGTAAGTGCATGTGTGCAATTGTTTTCCTGTAGGATGATCTTTAGTATTCTGTAAAGCATGCATTTGTCAGCAGTGATGTGTGTTTGTGTTTGTTTTGTGGCAGTTATTACTGTGTGTATGACTCTGGGGACAGACAGCTGCTGCTGGAGGCATATCACGATGATGCCTGCTTCTCTCTCAGTCTGCCATCCATAAACCATCTCTCTAGGTAAAACACCACTCATCTTTGATGGCACTCTGCTGTCTTTAATAAGCAATTATATATATACTGTATATATATATATGACATACCTGTCAACATTTGGGTCCCAAAATACGGGGGAGGGGGATGGTTGCGGTTGGGGCTGGGGTGTAAAAACAATGGTCGTTTTTGGCTTTGGACTAAACCAAAAAGTAGAAGTTCTCCTCATTCATTCGCTTTATGCCAGGAATATAGCAATTTCCCTGGTAACTGCAGTAAACCAAGCAGCGCAGCACCTGATTAATGGTCCTCAAACAAGGCTTTATTTGTCTTTACTATATTACATAATTGTTGTATATTAAAACTATCATTGTTAACATTTATGATTTTTTTTTTAAATGTGATCCAGATTTTTGTCAAAATAAATTCACACTGCACAATTTTCTTAGTGGGGAAATAAGTAAATTTAAATGTAAAAAATATTTTTAGTGTTTGTAAATGTGCAGAATTGTATATAATATACAAGTTTATTTTTGGTCTCATTTCTTTTTCCTATAATTTTGCAGGTGCAGGTTAAAAAATTATCATGAACACAGCCGCAACATCAAGAACATCAAAGATTCCTGTATGTTTCACACATGAGAAACAAGCAAAGAATAAAGTTTAAAAAAAAAAACAGATCAGTATGTGTCATGCACAGTCATCTTCTTCTTTACAGCCGCTTGGTTCCACTTGCTAAAACGCTCCCGCCTGACTGTAGTCGCCTTCCTCAGTGAGCTCCCAAAGACCCAGCATGACATGAATTCAGTCAATGTTGATGTCAACACTTACTCAGTGAGTTTCTCAATGATTTTAACACTGCTATCACTGAAGCTCTTAATTTGTAATTTACATTTTTTTGACATTTTGTTGTTTTCCTGCCTTCTCCGTAGAGGACTTTATTAGTGTTCACAGTGAGTGGAGTGTTCAAAGAAGGTGAGTCTTGCTTGAATGCAGTTACATGTGTCAGCATAACAGTTGATCAAATAGCGCTGTGTTCAACTCAATGTTTGTTTTCCTCTGTTCAGCTGATGACAAATTGAGAGACCGTGTCAAGGCTTTCTCCAGAGTCTTCATCACAGTTCCAGCTCAGAATTCTGGGTAGGAAAATCCAGCAGCAAATCACAAGCATGAACAAATAAAAACACTCTCTTCTCACTTATTTCTTAATATGGTTATCTTCATTTACTGGCTTTCCCCACACTGAATTTCCCAGAGTTCATGTATGTGCATGTCTGACCTTTCAGCTGACAGTTAAAGCAATCATCCTTAGTCACTTGGTCAAAATGAGCTCTTACTAACATAAAGTTGATTGGTATTTGTTGCATTCTGCAGTCTGTGTATTGTGAACGATGAGCTCTTTGTGAGGAACGCCACCAGCGAGGAGATACACTGTGCATTTGCAGCACCAGCCCCCTCGAATAGCCCAGTGCTGCCCACCCTCGCGGCATCCCAGCAGGAAATGCTCTCCGCTTTCTCCCAGATGTCTGAAATGAACCTGGAATGGTCTCAAAAGTGAGCAGAGAGCAAAAACCATGCCCTTATACTTGCAAATCTTAATTATAGAATTAGATATATATGTTTCTTTCTATAAGTTATGTGGGGAAATACTAGGGCTGGGCGATATGAGGCTTAATACAAAAGCAGCTGTTTTGCTATTTATTTTCTGTTTATTTGCATCCAAAGAAGTAAGTTATTAGCAAGACATTATTTACAAATGAGAGTCCCAAAAAATGAAGTAGTTTTCATTTGAAAATTTTTTTTATTTTAAAATAGGCATTATCACTTTATTGAGAAAAGACAAAAAAATTGAATTTCCAGTGAAGATGACTGTATATTGTTACTTTTGATGTAAAGTTGCCCTTACTTTACTTTGATGTAAGATTTTGGTCATACCGCCCACCCCTAGTCAATATTTTCCCAACCCTGTTGTTAAGGCTTGTGTATTGCTGTCAGATGTCTGCAGGATAACGCATGGGATTTTCACCGAGCTGCTCAGATTTTCACAGAACTCAAGGTATGAATCTGCTTGGCCAATTGATAGAAATGCAATATGTTCATTATGCCCTCATTTCAGCAGTTCAGTTTGCTGCTAATAAATAATCAGAAATTAAAATATATTGGCATTAACCATTGAAAGCCCCACTAGTTCAAATGTTTCAAAAGCTGATTAACCTTCTCAAAACGTGTTGCCTGTCTTTGACTGGATAAGCTGAAGAATGTATCTGAATCCCTCAGAGATCAGGTGATTTGTGAACGTTGTAAATCATTGCTGTTAATTTATGTTGATTAGTGTTCAGATCTGAGGTGGACCATATGCTTTTGAAATCTAATTGCATCCATTTTGAGGCTTTGGGATTTGAAATTTATCATATTGTTCATTATAATATTTTGTCTCCTTTAGGCTCAAGGAAAGATCCCAGAAGCTGCTTTCATAAAATGAAAACAACAAACATACAGAAATGCATATGTATGTACATAGTTTTATTTGTTGTTTAGCAGGCATTTAATTATGATGTTAAACGGAAATGAAACAAACTTGTTTTATATTATAGTTTTATTTTGAGTTTTTTTCTTTCTTAAAAGGGTTATACCTCAGGTTTATGCTTGAATAAATTACAGCACTGTTCCTGCATTAATTTTAAAAGCACTTTTTCTGTTTTAATTGTGATGTCTGAAGTATGTGCTGAGCTTTTTTTGGTGTTGTGTTAAATGTGATATTTTCACGGCAATAAAGTTGGTTTACGCCGCAAGATCAAGAAATCAATATGAAACACTAAAGTCATTACAGCACTGGAGGAATATTTGACCCTTACCAGACAAAATTCCAGGTAAACTTTTGGGCACGTGATTAAATTTGCTTTTGTATAAAACTACTAATCAATACAGAATTAATAATTCAGAACTAGTTGGAATGTTGAATTTGTTAGTATATATCAGTAATTATATGGAACTTAATCGAATCTTTATTACATAAGGCTCTACATAAAAAAAATAATACAAATCTACGTAAGTTTGGGTACAGTAATTTCTGGTCGTATGTCTACATCTGGATGAAGCGTTCAAGTTGACCGTCCCAACATGGCGAATGGACGTATCCAACTTCCGGCAACTTCAGCTACGCTGGCGTCATGACGCACACTCGGTTCAGTCCGAGTATGAAAACAATAAACACCCCGTTGGCCAGAGGACTTGTCGCATATTTCAGTGACATTATTAAAAGTAGAACCGGAGTGACCCGTTTCAACACAAATATCCTCTTTTAAACGCTGCTTTGGACAACCTGACGTTCAAAAACGAAGAACCAGGGGATTTTGGTGTCAAAGGACAGGAAGTTAGACGGTTTCACCCCTTCTTGTCTATCGTAGTACGCTTGTATTACTGTATTCTCGTTTTCACACACTACCGAGGGGGTTTAGGTCTGTTATGCAGGACTGGTGTCTTGTTCCGCCGCCTCTCTGCTCCCTGTCCCTGTCTGCTCTGGACATATGTCTCGGTGGCACTTCCCCTGGTCGGGCTCAATAAAGAAACGGGCCTGTCGGTACCTCCTGCAACACTACCTGGGCCACTTCTTGGAGGAAAGACTCAGTTTGGACCAGCTGAGCTTGGACCTGTACAATGGCAGCGGGGTCATTAGAGAAATTAACCTGGATGTGTGGGTAAGTGTGGGGTAAGACATGCCCAGGCCAGTTTCCTTGTCCAAGTGGCCCTTATTTCCAGTATTCGCAAGATCTAGTCTTGAGTATGAGATCAACACATCTTGTTAGTTGAGGAAGTACTTATGTTTCCAAGAGTTTGATGACTTGTGCAGAAAAGGCTGCATCTTAGATCTTCTTCCTGGTCTTAAGTCACAGTGATCAAGGCTTACTAACTTTTGCTTTCACATTTTGAGTCAAATTACTTTATTGCCTTTTTAAATTTTTGTGGAGTTGTCATTTAGTTTTTCAGAGTTGGCCCTGCAAAGGAGTGCTAATAAGTCAGTGTAAAAGTGTAAACAAAAATGTAAATAATATTTAAATTTAATTAAAATCTAAATACATCAAACAGTACAGCATTATATATAATATAAACACTTTTTCAAATATTATTTTACACTTTTTTTTTACAGTATAAATTGGGTCATTATACATACAAATATATAGACACCTTTTTAATTTTAGGATGGGGATGATTATATTCTATGGCATCTAAAAGACTGAAACCCCCTGATCTAGCACTACATCCTTCCTCTGTTTCACAGTCATTTTGACATCTACTGTTCTTACATGTTATCACTTGACCTTCAGATTCCTTAACTATTCTCTGAATCCTCTTTTCAGGCAGTGAATGAGTTGTTGGACTCATTGGGAGCTCCGCTGGAGATTGCTGAAGGTTTCGTGAACAGCATCGCAGTGACTATTCCCTGGGCGGCACTCGTGACAGAACACTGCACCCTTGAAGTCACTGGATTGCAAATAACATGCAGACCCAAATACAGAACCAGTGAGTTCTGTGGAGCATTCTTTGTGCACTCATTTGGTTTAATACATAAAGCCTTATTTTACACAGGACTGACTTATTGTTTAATTGTTTTCTCTGATCTCATTTAGATGGAAACTGGGATTCCCAAGGGTGGTCATCATGCATGACGTCCAGCATGCAGCTGGCCCAGGAATGCCTGAAGGACCCACCCGAGGCGTCAGAAGAGCCACCTGCTCCACTGGAGGGGCTGGAAATGTTTGCACAGACCATCGAGACAGGTGTGTAGCATTTCTTGTGTCTAGGAGTGTGATTCTGTACATTTGTATTGTTGCATCATGAAGTAAAACTGTTTGATGACTGGCTAACTATATTGTCACATATTGTTTGTGTGTTTGCAGTCTTGCGTCGAATAAAAGTCACCTTTCTGGACACTATCGTGCGAGTAGAACACCATTCCCTGGATGCTGAGACTGGGGTCGCCTTAGAGATGCGCATTAAACGGTGAGGCCATGAATTACATCTTTGTGCATTTATGGATGCATTTTGTTGTTTTTATTGTTTATTAATAAAGTATGGTGATGTGCTAGATATGGTTACCCAGGTAGATGTGCCATTGAAGAATGGCATGGATTTTTCTCTTATGCTGTTTTCTATTTTCTATATTCTAAAATGTAATTTATTCTTGTGATGCAAAGCTGAATTTTCAGCATCATTACTCCAGTGTCACATAATCCTTCAGAAATCATTCTAATATGTTGATTTGGTGTTCAAAAAATGTATTATTATTATCAATGTTAAAAACTGTTGTGCTGCTTAATATTTTTGTGGAAACTGTGATACATTTTGTTTAGAGTTCTTTGATGAATAGAAGGTTCAAAAGAACACATTTTGAAATAGAAATCTTTTGTACATGTCTTTACTGTCACATTTGATCATTTTCTATGCTCTTACTAAATAAAATAATTTCTAAATTGTAATGACCCTAAGCCTTTGAACAGTAGGGCTTATTACTGGAAAAACATATTTTTCCAAGTCAAAATACTTGAAAATCTTTGCATTCTTTTAGTCGATTCACAGGTTAAACTAAAAATACTCATTGACTCATAAACATCAATCATATCCTTCACTACAAACCTTGCATGCTTGAGTTCCTAGAGCAGTGTTGCCAAGTCCGCGGTTTTCCCGTGGAATGGGGTATCTTTAACATTGTTGCCACGGGTTGTTTTTCATGTCTGCGGGTTGAAGCGACCCCAATATGTGATATTTATTTTAACAGGGGAACCCCGACAAAAAACATATTTTTTACCCTCCTGAATGCTATTTTTACTGGGGGACCCCTCGAAACACGATTGGGCTAGCTGTGAGTAGCAATTGAATGGGTTTTGTTGTGAAATCCTGGCAACCCTGCTCTAGAGTGCTTCCATTGTTTGTGACCAATCTGTGTTCTGTCCCTGGTGGTAACATGTGATACTGCAGAGTGGACTATTGTGATGAGGCTGTGAGAGACTCAAGCCAGACAGTGCCTGTAGACATCCACCAGCCACCAGCCTTCCTGCACAAGATCCTTCAGCTCAACTCCGTACAGCTGCTCTATGAGACTCTCGGAGGATCACAGGTCAGGGAAACTATACAACCTGTTAGTTAGTGGCTTTTTTTCTGCATTTCACTTACACGCTAGCTTGTGTATTCATATTTAACACCGTGTACTACAAATATTGTTGCTTCTCATGATAAATTGCTTGTGATGTTCTTTATTTGTAAGTGGCTTTGGTTAAAAGCATCTGTTAAATGAATAAATATAAATGTTGCTATGGCAAGCATAAAGTTATAATGGACAGTGATTTTCAATTCATCAATTTAGGGGCTAGTTCATTCTGATGACATGACGAGCAGCAGGGAGACGGATAAGATGGATGAAAATGATAGAGGTGATAATGCCTCTGATGCCCCACAGTCATTACATCCCACCTCAAAGCCCCCCGAGCCTCTGCTGATTGGACAATGCTCTGGATTCATAGAGACGGCGGTCAAAATCAAACAGAATGAAATGCTGCCTGGGCCCAAGGTTTGTGTACACAATAAAAATAAAGACTGAATGGGAATGTTTTAAGCATGATCTTCTGAATCAGTGAGATCAAATGATCAAATAATTTGGTTTCATCATGAATGAAGGGGTTTCATTAGTACAAAACAGGAGATTTATATTACTTTCCTTATTAACTGATTTGAATTTCCTCTTAGTTTGAGTTGGATGGTAAAGTCGGGTGTCTCCACCTGCTGCTGTCCCCCAGTCAGATCACACACCTGACGGACCTCATGTCCTCCCTCTGCATCGAGACATCAGGTAACATGAGCACTCTGTTCTGTGTTTGCTGTATGATGATCTGCAATCATCATATGGCTGTTTGCACCAGCCTTAAGGGATACTTCATCCAAAAATGAAAATTCTATCATCATTTACTCACTCTCAGGTTGTTCCAAACCTGTACAAGTTTCTTGTTTTTTTTGTTGAACACAAAAGAATATATATATATATATTGATTGAAGAATATGGGTAACCAAACAGTTGATGGTCCCCGTTGACTTCCATAGTAGTATGGAACTTTTTTCTTTCTTTCTTTCTTTCATTTTCTTTTCAAAATATCTTCTTTTGTGTTGAACTGAAGAAATAAACTTATTTCTTGGTTGAAATAACTTGAGGGTGAGTAAATGATGACAGGATTTCATATTTGGGTGAACTATCCCTTTTCAGAATCAAAATGTTCTCTATTTGCCAAGTGTGCAAAACGTGCAGGGAATTTGATATGGTTTCCAGGAGCTAAAAGTACTTACACACACACACACACACACATTATGTATATATATATAGGTAGGACCCTTGCTGTCTACGGAGGGTCAGAGAGCTCTCGGATTTTATGAAAAATATCTTAATTTGTGTTCCAAAGATGAACGAAGGTCTTATGGGTTTGGATGGACATGAGGGGGAGTAATTATTGACAGAATTTTCATTTTTGGGTGAACTATCCCTTTAAGAAAACATGGACACATGTAGCTCACAAAGACGCTAACTATGACCTATCTATTGTATTTTGCTCTGTGTATAGAGTCTGTACATGTTCCTCGGGGTGAGTTATCCAGTTTTGCTGTACATGCTGTTTTTATGGAGCCGGATTCATTCAGATCAGTAAAAGACTCCATATTGATTGTGACCTCATGCATATAGTTGAGCGCCAGTCTTTGAGCCGCAATCTCGTGGATGTATCGTGTAACTCTGTGTGTCTGTATTTGGTCAAGCTAAGCAAAAAGTTCTCCTTTAATTGTTT